ACAGTGTTACTTAGTAGGTTCCATAGCTCCTGCTCTTTCCCGCCCCAGGATTGGCCAGACCTCTGGGACACCTCGACCTGGGACTGGACAGGGCCCTGGAGACGCACCGAAAGCACAGAGGACCAGAACCCCCGTCTTCTCCATGAGCTTCTGGCACAGCAGCTTGCACCTGGAGGACAGAGGCCATGGTCACGGAAATGCTGGGGGCTCTGCGAGGGTTTGCCTTCTTCCTCCTCGTTCCCTTTTCTATCTGCATGCTGTTTGTCCCCCTCTGTCTCCTCTCCTGGTAAACATGTCCTTTGGGCTTCAGCTCAGATGTCTCCTGCTCCTAAGACCGCCACGGTCGACCTCTCAACATTCCCCTTGGCACTGTCTTTCTCATCTGACTGGGAGCCCCTGAGTGGTGGGGGCCAGGGCTAAGCATTGAGGAAATGTTTAAAATGTCCACTTTAAGTGAAGGAAGGAGGTGGACAGCTCTGCGGAAATTCAGAGGAGCTTTCATGGGCGGGAAGGGTAAAGGGAAAGGAGGGGACAGGCAGTCAGGCCGGGAGAACAGCCTGCGCAAAAGCACGGTAGTGGCATAGGAATAGTGGGTCCAGAGAGGGAGACTCCTCGCTTTGCTGGCCCACAGTGTTTCCGGCAGGAAGTAGAATGAGTTCAGCTTTGAAAGGGAGGGTGGGGCAGGTTCCAGGAGGCTATAGGCTGAGGAGATGGAGCAGTGGGAGCCACAGTGGTTTCTGGGGAGGAGGATCTCACGAAAGCCAGGTTTGGGATTGTTTACCTGGCCTGGCTATCAAGGAGAGGTCCAAACCAAGGAGAGGGCTGCCATGGCACCAGCTGCCCGTTCCCAGCCCCCGTCCCACTCCCCCGACCTTCCCTGCTCACCTGCAGGTGTTGAACAGAACTTGCTGGGCCTGCGTTCTCAGGAAGCAGGCCAGGCAGGTGAACCAGGCTGTAGAGGAGACAGAACAGTGAGTAGCTGCGTGCTCATTTCTGTCCCACTATGAGGACTCGGTGACTGTTCTATGGCTGGGGGAAATGCCCAGGACTGGAAGACCCTCTTGACATTTCTGGTTGAGTCTAGCACTGCCCCTGGCTCTGCTCATGAGTAAGCACCAGCGTGGAGGGAGGATGGATCCTACAGGTGAGCGCCATCCACAACTGGCAGTTAATATGTGCTTATGGTGACTCAGGAGCACAAAAAGGCTGCAATGCCCATTCCCAGACTCTGGAAGCTTGGCAAGGACAGAGTCCTGGTCTGAGTCATCTCTGGGTGCCCAATATGGAGCTAGGCAAAAACTAGAGGTTCAGAACGATTGGAAAGGTGGGAGCATATGTGGATAGATGGAAAAATGAGAATGGCTAGGAAGATGGATGAATAGGAAGATGGAGAAGAGTGTGGGAGAATGAAAGGATGGATGAACAGACAGAGATGGAAGGGTTGAGGACTGAGTAGATGGACATATTAGCAAATAAGGGTATGGGTGAATTGACAGATGACTCAGTGGATGGATGGATAGTACCAGTGCCCAGCTGGTGGCAAAGCAGGTCCCAGAGCTGGCGGTTAATTCCTCCTGCAAACAGCAAGTCTCCCTTCCACTTCCCTTCTCCAACCACCACAGAGCTCCTGGAGGGAGTGATACCTCCAGAGCTCAGCCTGCAGCTCTGCCACCATTGCCCCCAGTGCAGGCTTTGCCCGCCCCCTGCACCCTGCCCTGCAGTCAGCCTGCACTGAGAGTGGACCCTCTCCCAGGGGCCCATGTTGATAACCGAAGCGGTTCCTTGGTATATACGTACACATACATCCCAGTATCCACTGAGTCAGGCTTATGGCTGGGGTACTGATACGGACAGGTAGCAGGAACGCGTCACCTGCAGAGAGCACAGGACTGTCACATCGCTGCCAGCCTCTGGGACGGGATGTTGCCAGAGACCCAGGGAGCACCCAGAGCTTGGGGTAGGCATCCCTGCCCCTCTGCCCCTGCCTGCCCCTTGCTCGGTGGCCCTGGGTTGCCCTTGTGACATCTCTGAGCCTCAGTTGCTCCCTGCCCAAGAAGATCTTATAGTACCATCCCTGCTCACTTGCACTGGATGAGGAGTCCTCTGCCATCCTGCTGGTGTTCCGGCCTCGTTGGGTGACCCTGGGATGACAAGATTCACAATTGGATGAAGAACGAGGGTCATCACATCTCACACTGAGTTGCTGAGAACTTTTCCCAAGACCACGAGTCTATGAATCAGGGACAAACTCAGGTGTGGTTGACCCCAGACCCAGGTCTCTTTTGAGGAAAGAACTCAGGTTGCCGGGGCAGTCACAGGTGAGTGTCACCATGAGGAGTCCCAGAGGCTGGCAGAAGCCTGATTTCATTCCTTTCTCTGCTCCTAGACTTTATGATTTTAGGCAATTCTGATTGGTCAAAGCCTGTTGCAGTACTCCTGCTCCCTTTGCTGTGATTGGTTCAAAGATGGAGGGCGGTGCTTGAAGGGTAGGGACGCTAGGTAGGGGGTGGCTAGAAGGGATGGCACTTGGGGGAAAGATGTTCTTACTGCTGAAATGAGACCCACAGAAACCAATACCATTCTCCTACCACCCTATAAAGCTATGTGTCAGCTGGACACCCAGCACCGGGGCAGCCGCTGAGTGGAGCGGAGGCCAGAGAAAGCACACGGATGGCAGGAATGGCCGTAGGTGGCAGTGCGCACAGCAGAGGTAGTACACCCTGGAGTCACCTGCACCTGGTGTGTGAGGTTTCAGAATCTTCGATTTCTTAAGGCAAAGTCTTCACATGTTTTTTATTCTACCCCCAGTGGTTTTATGTGTGTTTATTAAGAAATTATGGGGGCTGGCAGGTGATGGGGTGGTTAAAGTGTTGGACTCTCACATGGCCAACCACGGTTTGAGTCCTGGACCTGGAGGCTTGCTTTCTCACTTTCCCTCTCTCTCTTCCTCATTCTTTCTCTGGTCAAATTAAAAAAAAATATATAATAATAATAAATAAAATTGAATAAATTTTTAAAATTACTTAAAAAAGAAATTGTGCATGTGTGTCCAGTTATGCTAGCTTATTACTTGCCCTTTTCAAATGTACAGATTTATTTATGCACTCCAAGGAATATGGAGTAGAAGAGGATAACCTAAAAAAAAATACACTCAGTTTTTAAGAGTGTCTTCCCTTTACCCCCGTGGATTCTTTTATGTACCTAATTTGGGGACCCTGATCTAAGCAGCATTTTTTTTTCTGTTTCCCTTTATTGGTTCTTGTGTATGCATGTGAAAGAGAGAAAACCCCTCAGTGGGGCCCGGTCATGCCTCAGTCCTCCTTCCTCTAGTTCTCTGTCCTGTCAGGATCCTGGCATGAGTACGTGCACCTGGCACATTGCTGTGGGGGCCCAGATTCGAACCCCAGTCTGCTGTGTGGGATCAGCTTCCTCTGCACAGCCCTTAACTGCTGCACTCTGGCCTGGCTCTGGACATCAACTCAAATCAGACTTTCTGTCATTTATAACCAGAGAGCTCCTAGCAGCCAGGCCAGCAGAAATACATGTTTCCTGTTCGTTTCTCTTTCTCTCACTGGGCTCCGAATTCCATGAGGCCAGGGGCAGGTGGCTTGGCACAGCGCCATGCTCCCAGCATTCTCTGCAGTGCCTGCCACACAGTAGGTGCTCACTAAACACGTGCTGAGAGGATGGTTGTTGCACCACTTCCTGGCCACTGTCCCACCTTTCTGATCACAGTGGCTGTGTCTGCAGAGTGTGACTGATAATGCTTCTCACCTCCGAGGGGAGGTGAGCATTCTGTAAACCACGGTTTGAGTCCTGGACCTGGAGGCTTGCTTTCTCACTTTCCCTCTCTCTCTTCCTCATTCTTTCTCTGGTCAAATTAAAAAAAAATATATAATAATAATAAATAAAATTGAATAAATTTTTAAAATTACTTAAAAAAGAAATTGTGCATGTGTGTCCAGTTATGCTAGCTTATTACTTGCCCTTTTCAAATGTACAGATTTATTTATGCACTCCAAGGAATATGGAGTAGAAGAGGATAACCTAAAAAAAAATACACTCAGTTTTTAAGAGTGTCTTCCCTTTACCCCCGTGGATTCTTTTATGTACCTAATTTGGGGACCCTGATCTAAGCAGCATTTTTTTTTCTGTTTCCCTTTATTGGTTCTTGTGTATGCATGTGAAAGAGAGAAAACCCCTCAGTGGGGCCCGGTCATGCCTCAGTCCTCCTTCCTCTAGTTCTCTGTCCTGTCAGGATCCTGGCATGAGTACGTGCACCTGGCACATTGCTGTGGGGGCCCAGATTCGAACCCCAGTCTGCTGTGTGGGATCAGCTTCCTCTGCACAGCCCTTAACTGCTGCACTCTGGCCTGGCTCTGGACATCAACTCAAATCAGACTTTCTGTCATTTATAACCAGAGAGCTCCTAGCAGCCAGGCCAGCAGAAATACATGTTTCCTGTTCGTTTCTCTTTCTCTCACTGGGCTCCGAATTCCATGAGGCCAGGGGCAGGTGGCTTGGCACAGCGCCATGCTCCCAGCATTCTCTGCAGTGCCTGCCACACAGTAGGTGCTCACTAAACACGTGCTGAGAGGATGGTTGTTGCACCACTTCCTGGCCACTGTCCCACCTTTCTGATCACAGTGGCTGTGTCTGCAGAGTGTGACTGATAATGCTTCTCACCTCCGAGGGGAGGTGAGCATTCTGTAAACTGTTGGAACCAGCAGATGGCATAATGGTTATATCTTTGAACTCTCACATATTAGGTTTGAGTCCTGGACCCAGCAGCTTAAAACTCGCATTGGGTGCATGTGCGTGTTTGCCTAAAATCCCGGGGGGGGCGGTGGATTATGGAGTGACCACCCGCCCTGGGAGGTGATTTCTCACTTTCTGTCTCTTTGTCTCTCTGGCGAGCACATGCACCCTATAGCAAAAATCTTCCCAAAACAAAGCAAAACAAAACTTTGAAGGGCCGGGCAAAGGGAGGGGCCGCCATCCTCACCTCCTGGACCTGGGATTGTGCGCATCTTCGGGTGGAGCACTTGGGTCTCCGGGGTTCCTTGGGAACCGTGGCATCAGTTTCCTTCTCGAGGGCTGGGGTTGGTGGTGGGATGTCTGGGAGTCAGTGAAGAGGGAGCTGCTGCCTCTGAGTGTCCCCTGGAAGGTGCCATGGAGAATCTGCCTGGGTCGGGTGGAGCTGTGAGCTCTGTGACCTCACAAAGGAGGTGGGCTGGGGAGGGGCAGTCTCCAGCTTGGCCCTGGAACCTGCCCTAGAGGAAGCCATCATGTCCAACTGCCTGTTTTTTAAGATTTGGAAATTGAGGTCTTAAGACAGGAAGGGCCACGTTAGTGTCTCAGAGGCTGAGCAAGAGTGAGAACTGAGGCTTCATTAATTAGGCCATGCTTTTCATTGCTCCCTAGGGCCCTTCCTGACCCAAGCTTCCCAGAGTTACCCACTTCCTAGGTTCATAGGAATGTATTTTATAATGCTGAGCTGCTTCCTGGTGGGCAGTCTGCCTAACACAAAATAACATTTAAGTGTGTTACTCTTTTACTAAGATTCTACTTTGTACTGGGCAAAAAGATAAGCATAACCGAGTGGAAATGTCTGGCTAAGCTTTTTGTATTTGACCATTTGGACTGTGAAGTTAAAAATGAATTCACTCTTAACCCCCTGGTGGTAGTTGCTCAAAATTGCAGTCTAAATACCTGTTGGAAGTGGAATTATGGTTCCCCAAAGGCCCATGAATAAAAACCTGAACATGTTGACACCAGCAGTTAGCGTGATGGCTATGTTGCTGAACTCCCACGTAATTGACCGTGGTTCAAGTCCCAGACCTGGTGGCTTAAACTCACGCCAGACTCATGCGCGTGCGTGCCCAAGATCCCAAGAGAATGATGGAGGAGAAGGGATTACGGTGTGGTCATCCTCCCTGGGTGGTAATTTCTTGCTTTCTGTCTCTGTGTTCCTCTCTGTCTCTCTGGCGAGCACACGCGCCCTATAGCAAAACCTTCTCAAAGAAAAAATAAAACTGAATAAGTGAATATGTTACATTATATGGCAGCCGTGAATGTCTTAGTCCATTGTTGTGTGGCTAAACTGAAGCACCTGAGGCTGAGTGATTTATGGAGAATAGTTTATATAATTCTGGTGGCTGGAATGTCCAAAGGCATGGGGCTGGCATCAAGCTGGCTTCTGATGCTACATCGCAACATGATTAACCAAAGCAGAGGAAAGTGAGCGTGTGCAAAATGAGGGAGAAGGATTCCCACTTCCTCTGTCTGTCCCCCTCCCATCCCCAGGCAACTGGATGGTGCCCTTCTATTAAGCGCTATTTTTTAAAGTTCTCACCACCTCTCAAAGTCATTACACTGGGGACTAAGCTTTTAGACCATGAACCTTTGGGGGACAAAGTATCATCTAAACTATAGCAGAAAATTAAAGGCAGCAGATGGCATTAAGGTTGCTAATCAGATGACTTCGAGACTGGGAGAATATGCTAGATTAAGTGGTCCCAGCATAACCATAAGTGTCCTTGTGATTGGACAGATGACAGCATGACAAACACCCAGCCCAACATTGCTGGTGTTTAAATGGGGGAAAGAGCCAAGAATGAGGGTGGCCCCCAGAAGCCAAAAAGGTCAAGGAAACAATTCCTCTCTCACAGCCTCCAGGAAGTAATAAGCCCTTCCCGTGTAGATGATCCTAAGTTAGAGTGGTTCCACTTAAGCTTTTTCAACTTTACGATGATGTGCAATACATGTTCAGTAGAAATGGTTTCGGATTTTGAATCTTGACCTTTTCCAGGGCTAGAGATCGGTCATGTGACACTCCTGTCAGGTGGGGCAGAGGCCGTGGGCCCCAGCCTGTCAGCTACTCCATCGTGCAGGTAAACAAAAAATCTTCCCTGCACCCTGTCGCCAATGCTTTTTGGATATTTTGTTTTGTATTTTCTCATCCCATCATGTGAATATACAAAACAAGCGCCCATTTCAACTTACAATGTCTTCAATTGGTGATGGGCTCATTGGGACATAACCCAGTTATACGTCAAAGAATACCTGCCCCTCCGTGACTTTGACCCAGGGAGACCCGTTTTGTACTTCTGACCTCCAGAACAGTAAGCTGATGAATTTGTGTTTTCAATCTCCATGCTCACGGCCACCTGTTATGGCAGCCATGGGAAATACATTCAACACCTCCAGGAATGTTCAGTAACGGGGACACTGAAATGCTGTCACTGGTGTCACCTGGTGGAATGATGATTCTGATGACTGGATCCTACATGGCAGACTGTATGGCTCAAGTCCCGGGCCTGGCAGCTTGAAAAACATGCTGGACATGTGTGTATGCATGCCCAGAATTCCAAGAGGAGACTGTAGAAGGGATTGCACTGTGACCGTCTCCCTAGGGGTGATTTCTCACTCTCTCTTTCTCTTTCTCTCAGACTAGAGTGCACACACTCTAATGAAACTAAAAAAAAGAAAGAAAAGGCCTCACTGTAACTGTTACAAGAATCTTCCAATGGCTCCTTTATTCACTTATGCACTAAACAAATCCAATAGCTATTAAACACTCGGTACGTTTCAGGCACTGGAGATGCAGCAGAACCGGCGCCATCCCTGGGTGAAGTGGCTGGCAGGACAGCTTGTACACAGCTCACCACTGCTGCTGGACAGCTGGGGGGTTCAGAGAGGGGCTGGCTGGTGCTCCCGCCTTTGTTTTATGGGCTGTCTCCCAAATGTCGAGGAAGAGGAAGAGGAAACGTTCATGCTGAGCACAAACACCGAGAGTGTCTTTGGTCAATATTTGCACTTCTGTCCCTTGAATCTGCTGTTGATCTCAGCTATGCTGAAGCGAGAGGGCCTGGTCTTATGCACTGTCGACACCCCGAGGCCATTACCAGGATGTTAGGGATCTCATAACTGGCTCTTCCCATTCTCTTTTGCCTCTAGAAGAGTGTCAGGGAGCATTAGCTGGAAGGTAGGGCTATTCCAGGTGAGCTCTGTCACTCAGGGGAGGCTTGTCCATGTCCTCTGCCAACTCTGTGGCATTAGTGGGACCCAGCGCTGGCATTTCTGGGCTCTGGCTATTTGGGCTGTGTAGAGTCAATGGGAGCCACAGAAGGCTCTAGAGTGAAGGAAGTTCCCAAGGACCTTGTACCTGTGCCCCAGGTGAGCTATGCAGAGGAATGGACGGGCCTTCCCTGACGGTATTGCATCAGCTCTGGTGCACGTGTGTGTGTACAGACACACAAACACACATGCACACCCCCAAACCAGGAACTAGTCCACTGTACACACTTACACATACACCTAACACCATACACACACAGACCTGCAAACACGCAGTAGGCAAAATCCACATATCCATATGCACAATGAACTCTGCACACCTGCAGTCGTGTGTGTTTGTATCCACAGGCATGTAACACCATGTTCATGTGCCCATTTCACGTACATACTCCTCGACACACACATTTTCCTTTGATGCCAGTAATTCTGACTGTGTGTGTGTGTGAGGCTATGCACACATAATCACACAAACATGCACACATGCACACACACATACAAATTTCTTCCTGGGGTCCCCGAGGTGGAGTCTGGAGTTCGTAACGTGGAGAGGTGATGGGCTCAGTGCACTGTGTGTGGGATGTGCATTTAGAGGCTGGAGTGGGATGCTGCGAGGACCAGGCCAGGCACACTGTCCGTTCCCTTTCGAATTAGGGCTCAGCGTGTGACTAGGATCAGGGCTTAGTGTGTGATGGGGATCAGAGCTCAGCCAGTGACGGATCAGGGCTCAGGAAGCCTCCTGTTCCTCCTAACAGGGTCACTTTTCTGGGATGGTCTGGAGACGAGGCTTGAGAGATCATCGTAGGCATCCCCCTGCCTTTGAATATATCCTCCCTGCCAAGCCTCAGCTGAGCCTGGCTGGACTGATGAGAGGACCCTCCTGGGGGCAGACCTCCTCGCAGAGATCTCTGGCCCTTGAGGCCGAGGCGGCCCAAGCCCAGGGTCTTGTAGTGCTTGGCAGCCAGGCCCAGCTACGTGGCAGCCTCACCGCACATGTGGGATGAGACGCTTTGACAAAGGCCGTGTTTGCAGGGAAAACATTTGGAGCCGCAAATAAACCTGCCCTCCCCAGGTGCCTTCCCAGTGGGCCCTGTACACGGGATCTCATAAAGCAACTCGACACCTGCCCGCCCGGCCACAGGAAGGCTTGCCTGGAACTGGGACTCCCCCTGCTTCAGGGACCTTGAGGTGGGAATGGGGATGGGGCTGGGGCTGGCACTCTTCCAAGGAGTCGCGACTTCTCCGTCTGTTCAATGGAATACCACTGCCGGCTGCCTTGTACAGAAGTGTCCGTCCACCCCTGGTGGCCCCTCACTCTCACCTGGCTCCCTCTCCCTGAGCCGGACACAGACCCGCCGCTTGGCTGGGCTGGGTTGGGAGGGGTTGGGGGGCCAGGCGAGAGACCTACTTCTAGATCACTCCTCACCTGACTAGGATGAGCTGAGGACAGGAGCCACCCTGGGTCCTTCTGTAGCAGAGTTTGGACAGCTGGACGCCAACTGGGCTGTCACATGGGGCTGGACGCCTGGCATCTGGCGAACGGCCTGGCATTGGGGTGGTGGGCCTCGGTTCTCTTCTTGGGCCAAGAATCCGCCCTTGGTCTCCCTATTGGGAGTCTCCCCACCCTCCTCCAACATGGCCTGCTGGGAGGCGTTTGGAAAGGCCATTTCTTTGCCGGGTCTTGGGGACCGTTTTCAGACCAGAGTCCCCTGTGTTTCCCAATGCAGCAAGCAGAGAAGGTGATGGTTCCCAAAATGGAGATGCCAAAACTGACGCCCGGGGCCTGGGGCAGGGCTGGGTCCATCCGTGCTGGAGCCCTCCAAGCTTGAGTGGGGCACGGGAGGCTCAGGGAGGGCTGTTCTGGCCACGTGCCCTGCTTACCACCTCCCCACCCCCAGCCCACAGATCCTGGGGGGCACAGCCAGGGCAGCCATGGCTCAGGTGTGCGGGCTGGGCCTGCTGCTGGTCCTGCTGCTTTCCGTGGCTGGCGCCTCCATGCCGGGCACCGTGGTCAGAATCAACATGGCTGCACTGAACTACGGTAAGAGACGCGCTACAGGTGGGGCAGGAGAGCCCGTGTCTGCGTGTGTGCGCAATCCGAAGTGTGCATGTGAGTCTGTGAGTTCAAGCCTTGTGAGGACTCATGTGTTACCTGCTGCTTACGCCTGGCCCCCAGACAGTGCCACTCGACGGGTGCTCAGTAGATGAACTCAGGGGTGGGCGAACACACCACCCGGCCGGTTTGCAGGTGTGCAGTCAGATGCTCACGTGGACCTGTGGAGTGGCTATTTTTGCTTACGTGTCTGCTTACGAGTCTGAAATTTCATGGGGGTGTGCCAGTGTGTGAACTTAAGTGTCCAGGGGTGAATGCTCCCTGGGTGTACGCATGTATGCATGTGTGGTATCTGCATGCACACATATGTTTGGGAGAGTCGTATTTTTTTTTTGGAGAGGTTTTCGCTATAGGGCATGTGCACTTGCAGAAGAGTCCTATCTAACACAGCATTGAGGGGATGTCCTGAAATAACACCCTGCTGTGCTCAGGGGGAGAGAACACACCTGTCTCTGGGCCCCTCATAGGTGGGCCTCTGTCCTGTGATTCTGTTGCTCCATCCTTCCAAGTCCTGCTCCATCCTCTGGGAAAGGCATGATGAAGAAACCAGGACCCCAGCACAGAAATGATCATTCACCCCCTAACCTGCTTCTCTAAGAGATTTCGGGGACCCACTAAAGCTGGCTCAGGGATAAGAAATTGGGAGCTGCTTTGCCAGAGTAATCTCAAATACAGCGTAAGAGACCCAGGGCGGACAGCAGAAGGGACTTTCGATGGCGCAGCCATGGAGCAGCAAGGCCGTGGCTCAGGGAAGCAGCAGGGCCGTCCTCTGGGGTGCACACACAGCTTTCCAGGACCTTGTATCCGGGCAGGTGAGCAGGTGATGAAAGGGATCAGTGATCCGTGTCGGAGCGTGACAGGCACAGATGCCTGCAGACAGGGACGTGAGGGCCACTGCTCTCCACGCCCTCCTGACCTCTGCCTGTCCTGGCCGAGCCTTTGTCCCTGGGGAGTTCTCTGCGGAAATCCCTAGAGAGGCCCACAGAGCACACACCACTTGCAAGGCCGGGCTTGGTGACTTCTGTGTCTTCCTGGGCCACCTGCAAGCCCCACGGTTCAAGCCCTGTCAGGAGAGCACTGTGAATGGAGGCCAAGGCCTAGGTGTGAGTCTCAGCTCAACCGTAGATGGTCAGGCCAGAGAGAGGCCTCAGGACCATGGGGACCACCACCTCTACACCCCAGGTCTGGGGAAACTGAGGCCCAGAGAGGCTCGTGGCTTCCCAAGTTCCCGCATGAGCAGAACTGGGGCCTCTTGGCTCCCCACTGCCAGCACCAGTACCTCTTATTTTAACCCAGCTCACGTTTAATAGCGCCTCTCGGGCCAGCGCGTGGCTGAGTGAGGAGGCCCCGAGGCTGAGGAGCCAGGTGCCTCAGTCTAGGCCAGCGCCTGTCCTCACCAGGTGTCCCCACCTGGCTGTGGAGTGGGCACAAGGATGGAAAAAGCAAAGCACCGGGGACGGTGCCTGGCACGTCTGCAGTGCTGTGTGGGACAGTGCTGTTTCCACAGAACTCAGACTTTGCCACGCACCCAGCCTTCCCGGCAGCCCTGTGTGACAGTTCCATTGTAGTCACTGCAAACTCGGAGATGGGGAGACAGGCACAGAGCAGCCACCCAGGCAGTGAGTAGCAGAACTAGGATTGGCTTTTAGGATCTGAGGGGCTCTAGAGGCCTCAGCCTCCAGTAAGGCTGGTCCCTTCCCTTCCAGAGGTCACCTCCATTGCAGACCAGGCCTGACTGGGAAATGTTCTGTCTTCTTGGGGACTTAGAGGAGGTTCTCGGAGTAGGTGGGATCTGGAATCTTGCGAGAGGGCAAGAGATTTCATTGTTTTTTGGGGATGGGGTAAACAAGTGGGATTTCAAGAGGCAGAATGAGATAGGAAGTGTGTGTCCTGCGGTGGGCCTGGTGTGGACAGTGCACCTGAGGGGGGCTTGTGGGGAGCCACTGCCTTCCCTGCATGCCCGTGTGCAAGCACCTCTTCCAGCCTCTGCTGAGGTGCAGGGCAGGTGGCAGGTGGTGTGTTCTCACTGCTGGGTGGTTCCCGAGGGCAGCCTGACCACAGCCTGATCACAGCCTTCCCTGGCCCCATAGTGTCTGAAATCGGGAGAGCCCCTCTCCAGCGGGCCCTGCAGGTCACTATCCCATATTTCCTGGACCAGAGCGGAGAGACGCTTCAGCCCACCAGGTGAGTGCTCCTGCCCCCAGGTGGAGTGTTCTTGCCTCCCAGGCCAGCGTGGCAGTCAGCAGAGGTATGCTCCTGCCTGCTAGGTAATTGCCCGCCCCCGCCCACAGGCCCATCCATCGGGCAGCCATCAGAGGGCTCTCTCTCCTCTATCGAGGAATGCTCCTCCGCCAGCCAGGAGGATGCTCCCCACCAGGGCAGTGTCCACAGGAGGCTTTAGGAGAAGGGACCAAAGCAGAAGCATGGGGGCCTGGTACCCTGAGTCAGTGGATTTCTACCCTCAAGGGCCAGCACCGTGGCTCCTGTGACCCCAAGCCTCGCAAGACCTCCAGCTCCGTCTTCCAAAATCTAGATGCTGAATTCGGGCACGAGTCTGAGCCCGACTTACCACGCCCCTCACCTCCAATGCGCAGACACCCCTGTGCAGAGGTGGGTGGGGCATCTCGAACTCAGACCCTCCAGGAACTGGGCTGATGGTCATGTGGGAACACAGACTCACTACTGCCAGATTTTGAGTTTTCAAGAGAAAAAAACAATGGGACTTTGTGGAAATAGAATAAGTTTATTGCGCTGCCCAAATTTTGAAACACACACACACACACACACACACACAGGCACACACACACATACACAAACTATCAATCTTTGTTTGATAGCAACTAATTAAAAACATTTGGGGCCAGCTACTGGTATGGTGGTTAAGGGAACTAGATTCTACATTGTCGACTGTGTGGTTCAAGTCCTGGACCCGGTGGCTTGAAAAACGTGCTGGGCATGTGTACGTGTATGTGTGCCCCAAATCTCTCTCTCTCTGTCTCTCTCTCTCTCTCCCATGAGCACATGTACCCGATAGCAAAATGGAAAGTGAGATTTAAACTCGAAGTGCTGGGACAATAGGTGGGTGAAGATCACCCAGCTCATGGCCCCCTTTGAGACGCAGCTGAGTTGGGCAGGGCTGGAGGGCTGCTCGTGTCCCGGCGGGTACTGGTGGAACACGGGAGTGGAGTCAACCCCCAGCCGCCGAGGAATCCTAAATGACGGGAGGTCTGGCTGCATGGCAGACACCACGGGCTGTTTGCAACTGTGCTGAGGACCCTCACTGTAGACGTGGGGACACATCCAGGAGGGCTGTCCAGGGAACAGAGGTGGCTTCTAGGTCAGCCCGTGTCCTGAAGGCAGTTGTGGAAAGATGTCACCCAAGGTCACAGTGAGAGTGTTTGAGGGCAGAGTTTTGACGTGACCTTTCGGCTTTATGCCACTTATGGCATCTCCCCTCTTACTACTGTGCGGTGGGGAAGCGGCTTCTGTTTGGGGGATACAAGGAAGTCATAGGGCAGCGGGGCAGCGCTTAGCCGATGGAGCAGGCGGGTGCGGAGGGG